AGTTGGATTCTATGAACTAGAGGCGAAATATTAGACATTCTATTACCGGTTCCTTGAAAGGGATCTCTCTCAAGTACACATGGTTTGAGAATGCAGGAGCAATACAAGATGCATTACCACTATACAAAGTGTGGTTACAATAAGGCTTTAGAAGCCAATAAGACTCCTTGGTAGCAGTAGTCCTAGCACCTAAATCCACCTGTCCTGACTTGCCCCATGCAGGGATGACAGCATGCAACTGCAGAAGGCTGAAACTGTAATGAAAAGGCAAGGGACCACAGACTATCAGTGTCCGAAAGCATATCCCAAGGTTCTGATGGACACCAGGACTCTTCCTACACTCTTTCTGAACAGGAACTGATATAAACTACTGTCCAGGAGAATTACAGCATCTGCAGTGTTCTCTCTTTGCCACATCAGGGAAATGCCCAGTGTCCAGGAATTGTAGCAGAGACCACAAATAAACCTGACAAATACCATTGAAAAGGGTCAACTGACCAATTAAGGTAATATCAAGCCAGATTTCCCCCTCCTATGGAAAATCCAGTGTAGGAGACAAAAGAGGTAGGAAAAGTCTGTGAAGTTCCATGCTGCAACTCCCCCTTTACTTGAGGGGCTGAGGGGTGCAGTTTTTATATTGTTCGCCCTCTAAACGTCACAGACCTCTGGGACCCAGAGAGAAAGGAGGGCTATTGCACGGTGGCTAGAATGGCTTAAGAAGCAGCTGTGCTGCTATTGGCTGTGTCTAACTGTGGCTGACAAGCAGCAGCTTCAGAGGGGATGCAGGGGGCGATTCCACCATGCCAAGTTGCCCTACCTCTTCTGCCACTATTTCAGCATGGAAATCTAGCCAGGGAACAGGGAATAGCGCCACAGAGAATAGCACCTCTCCTGCACCCCCATAGTTCAGTGCCACATCAAAGCCATTAGCCATCACGTTTTTATAAGAATAAGAACGTGCCTATATCTGAATGCATTTCTATAGTGCTTCCACTCCTAGTGTTGCCACCTTTCAAAGAGCTGGTAACCAGACCCCTGACAACCTACACATGCTCCACCTCTTCCCCACAAGGCCTCGCCCCCATTGGTTGCTCATCTCCCTCCATGCTCCCGCCACTTGCTGGCTCATCTCAAGGAGCCTGCCTGCAGGTAGCAGGCAGCCCCAGCTGAGCAGGTGTCGGTGCAGGTTAATGACCCAGCGTCTCGCCCCGCCCTGCGGTAACTGGGCTTTTGGTTCGGGTGCCATTTAGGGTTGCCAGGTCATTGGTAGTTTCTCAAGGAGACAATATTAAAGGCTTCACTGTAAACTATCGTGATGTGAAGGAGAGACAGAAATATAGTGAAAGGCCAATATGACTCCACCAGGAGCTCTTTCATGACCTGAAAAATCAAAAAAGGAAGCCTACAAAAAGTGGAAACATGGACAAATTGCTAAGGAGGAGTACAAAAGAATTGCACAAGCACGTAGGGACAAAATCAGAAAGGTTAAGGCACAAAATAAAAGGTTTTTTTAAGTACATTAGGAGCAAGAGAAAGATGAAGAAAAGCGTAGTCTTCTACTTAGTGGGGAAGCATATCTAATAAATGATAGGAGTACTTGTGGCACCTTAGAGACTAACAAATTTATTAGAGCATAAGCTTTCGTGGGCTACAACCCACTTCTTCGGATGCA